TTTTTTTTTTTTTTTGAATTTCATGTCTAGACAAATTTTAACTTTATATTAAAATTTTCTTAAAATAAAATACATATAATATTAAGGAATTAGCAACGTAATACAAGTAATATAAAATGAACGGTACTATAAACAAGTCGTTTACTTATTTGCATTATTTTAGCCAATTCGTAAATAATAAATTCCTCATGAAATTGTGCCAAGAGAAAAGCGTTAAGTTCAAAACATTAATTTTGCTGAATAAACTTATGAGGTGAAAGTGATGGCATTAAGAAGCCATTCAAATGAACAGTACATTCGCGATACGCGATCACATGCTGTGCTAATCCCTCTGATCATTTCTCTCTCGGATAATTATAGATACGGCTCGTCCTTACTAGCACGTTCTTGCAAGTTCTTAACACAGTCTTGGGATTCCCAGAAACACCTGTTATTAATAAACATTATGTTTGAAAAGTCCGAAATTTCTGTGTTTAGTATCCGAAAATCACAAGACTGATATTTTTAAGAAATTCGCTTAAATTTATTTTTATGTCTGTCCATAACTTGCAAATTATGACGTAACATGCTGCATTAAAAATCACAATTACAACAATATATTTAAAATTGTAATATTATTATTAAAAATTATTATTATATTAATTATTATTAAATTATATTAATAAGTTAAATTTATTGCACATCATATATTGCAAGAGAACAAAGACTTCCAATCAATAAGCTGCATTCAGCGCTGAACGTACAATGAGAAAACAAATCGAGAATTATTCAGAACTATGCACATGAGTTAATAAAAGATTTAATGGTGGCGAATTTACGCATATATAAGTGCATATAAAATCCTTTGTGCAGTCACTCATGACAGATCCAGCGATAGATCGCGTTTCTTGAGCGAGAAACCGACGTAGACGGGGACCACCGAGTCCTCAGTATTCATTGTTGGGACAGTAAATGTCGTGTTACGTTTCAGCAAACACGACAGCGACATGGTGAAATGCAATTTTCTACGGCCTGACGATGACGAAGTGGTACTGTCGGGCAAGCGTTCGTTCCGATGCCTAATTATACATACGATTGCCATATGTTATAAATCGTTGAGAGCTTTCCGCTATCTGATACACACCGTCGCGTTTCACGATTTGCTCTTGCTAAGTGATTTGATATGATATTTTCAAGATTCAATCTTGATTCCAGATCATACAATGATATTATTCATTTTACTTTTAAAGTTTTCTTGGTCCTTAATCAGAAATACAATCGGTTTCATATCTTGTAAGCTTGATTCCAAAGCCGGCTCGAGGCATGACAAGCTGTAATACCGTCACCAACGCAGATACTTATTTCGTCTGTATGTATTCGATCGGCCTTCGTATTTTACGATTTAACCGGCCTTCTGCATACTTTACGATTCAAATGACTGTGGTTTAGCGATCAGTCCAGCTGGAACGAAGAAGTCCAACATGGGACACGCGCACGTTTACGATGACTATCGAAATGACCAACCGGCCGATTTAATTTTCCCGTCGCATAAGCCGCAATAACGAAATGCAAAGCTGAAATCGATATGAGATCCGAAGAAAGGATTATTTAAAAATTCATATAAAGAGGATTCTTACTGATAATATCTGCGCGATAATACCTTTTATTATACATCCGGTTTGCTTTCAGATATCGCGATTACTGATTATCAAGTATTATATATATATAATATATATAATACATTTACAAAAAGTGCTTTCTTTCTTTTCTGGATTAAAAATTAATATTTTGTATTTCAGGAGACGAGTGTGTGCGAGACAAGCTCCTATAACGTCTCATCATCATCGGGGGAAACAAATTAGGTACTTTGCACATCTCATATAAATGCACAGAAACTTTCATCAACATAAACCAGATATAAATCACGATTTAATTATTACAATTTTACGATAAATTACTCAAGAAAATGTAAATATTTATAGATTTATGAATGTTTGTAACGAAAAACCTTCCACTTTAGTTTTTCCATTATAACATACATTATATTTCGTGAATTTTATAATTTCTTAAAAAAAATTTATGGAATATTCTAGATTAGTGTATACCGAGGTGACATCCAATTTTTTTTGCTGCCCGGGATGGTCGCAAGTTACTCATTTGAGTTTTGGTTGTAATAAACGTAAGTAGATTTAATGACAGTTCTTCAAAATCAATGTAATCTCTGTCTACAATTATCGAAAAATATAACAATTTAAATTATTTAAATATTTATTATCTATATTTGCAATAAATTAAAATATGATTTATGTAGAAATGTGTGAAATGCGAGACTTATTAACAGTGCAAAATATATTACTTTAAACTGTTAATATATATGACATAAAGCATAGAGTATTAATACATATATTCAACATTCCATCCATATATTCTTTCGATGTTTGAACAATCTGGCATTATTTACAATTATATGAATCGTCTAATCTAGATCTAATTGTTCTTCAGCCACGTGCCCAGCGCTATGTCTGAATGGTGGAATTTGTACCTCGTCTGGTAAATGCACGTGTCCTAAGGGTTATACTGGCAATCAATGCCAGACAGGTAATTTTAATTGCATATACAAATTAGGATTACGAACATTCACGCTGCATTGATTGTTATTATTAGCTTTGACGAGAAAATTATACGATCTAGAAATTGGTATTGTCCTCTCTCTTTTTTTCTCTCTCATAGAATATCATATATATTATTATGTCATCTTCATTATTAGCACATCTATACATAATTAAAGAAAATAAATAACACTATTTTGTGAAATAAAGCTTATTTTAAAAAGCTATAAATTCTCTTTCTCTCTCTCTCTTTCTCATAAAAATTTAAAATAATTTAGAATTTATTTTATCAATTATTTTGACCGATATGATAACATGTTTTTATTATAAAAGGGCGAGATAAAGAACAAAAGTTGAAGTAGCGTTTGCATAATATATGAAGAACAGTGATTAGAACATTCGTGTAGCGCGACGAAGAATCGCTCGTAAATCTATCAAGAGAACGCGACAATTGCTTGGTTGCAGCCGACCGATGCAAGACATATAGAACACTGCAATACGGATTGCGCTGCAGTTAGTTTGGTGTTCGCGTGATCCTATCAAGGAGCGTATCGCTTCACGTCGATAATTAATTACATCTGACGATACCAGGCACGAGAAGGCAATTGATCAAGTTGCTTCAATGTTTATGTTATAAGGATCAATTATGTCTAATTACATGTATATATGTTATTATTATCCGATAATTTAATAAGTTAATATTTTACCAAGTAAATGTAAAAAATATGTGAAAGAGAGATTCGTATCTTATAAAAAGAATTTAAAAAATCGCTAATATTAAATCAAACTATATACAATTAAAATATGATTTTGCTATCTATTATATCATATATCTTCCCATAGCTAAATTTTTATTAAAACTTTACTTCGAATCTATTATTTTTAATGTTAAATAATTTTATATCTTTTTATAACATTTTTTAGTACCAAAAGATAATGCACCACTTTATAGATAGCTCGTAAAAAAAATAAATTGAGTATCGTCTAATATTTCTTATTAATTAATAAATAACATTAATATTTCTTTATTTCGCAGACGTGGACGAGTGCGCGATAGAAAAACCGTGCGGACAACTTTGTATAAACGTACCCGGTAGCTATCGATGTCATTGTAGAACCGGGTTTCAACTTCAACAAGATGGCCAATCCTGTCGGAGGAATGGTGAGTATGCAAAACGCGAAATTCAAAATAAAATTTTACCAAGAATAACTTTGAGAAAATATGCCTATTTTTTTTATAGATACTGATGAAAACGCCTTTGAAGCCCGCGATTTGGAAAACGATTTTCACGACGTGTTGACAACAAAAGATCCGATGTCTTCTCATGGTATGTATATATGTATAATTCAATCTTAAAATTTAATAGTATTAATTTTTATTTTTCTATCTATTAACTTCCTCTTTATAGATACAGAAAACGAGGTGAGCGATGATGACCAAGATTACGAGATCATCTTAAAGAGATTAACTAAACTCGAAAAGGTAAGTTAAATACTTATCAACATAATACGTAATTAATAAAAAAAAACATATTAAAACTCTTTAGCAAGTGGCCAAAAACAGAAAGAGAGATACGGAGGCTTCCGAGATGAACACCAAAGTCACATTAGCAATCGACAGCATCAACGAGATGAAGATAACTGTCGAGAACGTGGTATATATTTGAGATACATTAAAATATTATACATTCGAATCTCTCGATATAACGCATGACAGAAATCTCGCAAATAATTTCGCGTAATTAAATTTTACTGCATAAATAAAGGCGCAAAAATATATGTATATTTATTTATACTTTTTATCTCCTTAACTTTTAGATTTAGTTTTATTATTATCCTACACAACGATAATACATATAATTGAAAATCGCGAGCAATTATTTACTTTTAGATTTATATATCTGCTACTTAGATTATCTAGTAAGACATATATATATAATATGCATTTATAGTTATTTCTAAAAGAATAAAAGAACACATCATGATCGATGATTATCAATGAGAGAGAAAATATAATCTCGATTTACTAAACTTTTTGTTAATCTCCAATTTATTTAGAATTTGTTAATAAAGGAAGAAGATGAAATTTTTATCTTTACTTTCTTTACAGTCTTATAAAAGAAACAAATATCAGAGTAATAAAGGAATAAAAAAAACAGAGGAATATATGATTCAATATAGTACAATTTCGGTTTGCTGCGTTATTTCTTATTTCGAGCTATATCGAGATCAAAGTGTATTAGTAAAAACATATTCTTTACATTATTTATGAATACGATAACACGATTTGTTTCAGCAACTAATGCAACAGGAAGTATATGATATGAGAAGCAAAATGAAACAGTACGAGGCAGAAGTGAGAAAAATACATCATCTGATGAATCGCGTCGCGGAATTAGAAAATCGTCTGAGAATACGCTGCAGATCAGCGATACCAATAAATAGCGGGTCGTTGAACTTTTAGCATTGCTACAGCGTCATTCTATTATCAGTACTATTTAATACTAATAACGGATAGTAGTATTTTTACCATAAAGTTTCTGCGCCGTCGGAATGTTATGCAAAGACGCGATTAATATTTTTAAATAGAAGATATAGAAAAAAATGCTGTATATTCAAGAACAGAACATTTATTTATTCTCAAGCCATAGAATGACATTGGTCGCTTTTATCTCAAAATGTTGACATAATTTTAGTCATACATTTTACACGGAATTTTCCTACCGTGAAATAATACCACTGCCATAATTTAATATTTGTTACATCTTGCAGACTAGTAACAATAGTAGTGTATAATTTAAATATGTTTATTTGTACTCAACTTTTATATATGTATAATAAAACAATGTGGATTTGTATTTGAAATCTTTTAATTTAAATTTTGAAAAAGATGGAAATGGTGTATCATATGACATTAAAAGAACAAGTGCATTTTTAATTCAAAGTTATATAAACAATTAAAATTGCCAAAAAAAGAATGATTTTATATAACCCGTAATCAAAATTCAGAAAAATTTTACTCAGCATAAAAAGCATCATAATCAAAATATAGTTAAATATATGTGAAAGAATATGTAATAAAAAGTTACTCAGATATGTTAATCTATGACAAACCAGTTGAAAAAAAGGAACATAAAAATAAAAAAGGTAGTTTTATCATGATTTTGTAACATCCGCTCTTTTAGATTCAACAAACATGATAGGGTATAATACTTAGTTAATTAAGTATTTATAGAAAATAAAAAAAAACAAATTTTATAATATTTAAAAGTTTATAAACACCATGAAAAAATTAACTTTACAATTTATGGAGAAAGATTTAATCTTTCTTTTGTTCAATTGCCTTCTTCTGTCGTCTGGTGAGTCTTTTGCTTGATATTTTGCTGGCTTTCTGCATTTTTGCTCTACCTTTTTTATGTTTGAGTATCTTTCGTTTATTCATCCATACAGGATAATTACCGTATTGATCACGCAATGTTTTCTTATTATATACTCTAGCACCTTCTACTTCCATCTGTTCTTGATCTGTGGTTACATCGCTTTTTATATCATTAGCTTTAGCTTTAGCCTTGTCTTCTTTGATTTTTTTTGCGTCAACAACTACAATATAAAAGATTATCATGTGTTACATTATCTATTACATTATATATGATATTATAATATTTATTACAATTGTGTTATTATATAATATATATTTATATTATGATTATTATAAATATCTTTATTGCCTTTAATGCGTTGATGCAAATGTGAAATCATACCTGTAGCGATTTCTTGAATATCTGTCATTTCAATATCTTTAGATGCATTTTCATCAATACCAAGAGTTTTCTTCAATCTATCTAATTCCTTTGCCGCATAACGTTCTCTCTTTACTGCCCTGCATTTTCTTCTCCATTTACTACGCAACGACTTAGCCATTTTTCACACGTGCGTTGTATGTATACGTTTGAGTAAAATATGAAAAAGGTTATGTTCCGATTTCCGGTCGGTCACGAGTCACGAAACATAGAGAGATATCTGCCAGAGAGAGAGAGGCCACGCCGCCGTTTTTCGTGAAACCGTTTTTCTAGCTAGTACAGTGGCGCTAACTAGATCCATTTTAAAGCAGGCGAAACTACATGGCCAGATCTACTTCTTGATGCCATGGTAAAACGACGGGTTGGTGTATGTCCGTGCTAAATAAAGTACATTGTGGATCAAAAATGCAGAGAAATATTATGGATTTATTAATGTTTTATTAGTTGCGCGTGATGTTTTGTCATTCTAGTATATACTACAGTGATAATAAATTATAATTGAAATATTTTTATGTATATGCGCATGTAAAATGAAATAAATTTTCTTAAATAAATTTTTAAAATAATTTTTTTCCTAACCCAGACAGCACAAAACGTCCTCAGGATCATCCTGAATATGTCCAGGATGGTTCAGGATATTTGTACCCAGTAAACGCTAGATATTCCTGAAATATTCCATTCGTATTCCAAAAGTTCCGTATATACCGAAATAGTAGAGAAATGTTCACAGAACGTTCAAATAATCGTGAAATATTCAGAATATTCTATGAACACTACTTGTATGAGCAATAAGGAATATTCAGTGTACATTTTGATATATGTATGGAACATACACAAAATATTCCATAGAATATTAATGGAACCCTCTTGGATCAATCTTATCGGACATTAATGAAAACCGACGTACGCACGCATCTCATTACCTGCGCGCGCAGCGACTACGTCTGTGATTGGCTGACTCTTGCGTTCACGCGTGCGTAAGCCCATATTGCATGCATATCAGGAACTGATTGACTGAGCATGTGCATGTGAGAGGAATTGGTGCCGATATTGCCGGTATTATTTGCGTTTCGTATTCAGTGTCGAGGTCGTAGGCCGTACAATTAAGAAAAAGAAAAAGAGTCTTAACTACAGGGCGAGACGGATGTCTCGTGGCATCTTTTGTATACTGAACGCAGCCATTACGTGACTATTACACGTTATTTGTCTGTACGGTGGTTCGTACCTTGAAGAAGTATCAAATTTATTTTATATTGTCTTATATTTATAATCTTTGAATAAATGAATCATATTCATAAATGAATACCATCTAAATAATTTATAAAACCCTTTCTTAAAATAATCTTTACTGTATAATATATATCACTCTGAATATATGATGGAATATACATGGGATATGTTCCGAATGTTTTTCAAGCATGTCCTGAGAATATTTTTGGAATATTCAAAATATGGATAAAAAATGGAACATTTCGCGCTTATCTGAATATTCCTTGTACATTCTGTAAATATTCCGGAATGTTTTGGAATATTCTTCGGATGTTAATTTTGGATCATAGGAACATTTTATAAATATTCCAGGAATATCTAGCGTTTACTGGGACAGAACGCAATCTTAATTTATATTTAAATTTTAGAATTTGTTCCTTTTAACGTATGAAAAATATCCCTAACATATCCTATAGAAATCCTTAAGATGTTCCACAGGATCTCCCTGGATTCTCCAGAGGCTAGTGTACGGCTATCATTTACTCTTCCTCAGGACACCCAGAGGAGATCCGAGGATTAAAATAGGATATCCTCAGGATATCCTACATGTATGTCCTGGATGCCCCTTTGGACGTCCTAAGGACATCCTTGTGCTATCTGGGTTTTAACATTCGACACCTTAGTATCACATAGTGCAAAAATAAAATAATATTTTCTTTTTAACATTCGACACCTTTAACATTTACATTTTACCAATTAACTGGTAAAATGTAAATGTTAAGGTGTCGAATGTTAAAAAGAAAATATTATTTTATTTTTGCACTATGTGATACTAAGGTGTCGAATGTTAAAACCCAGACAGCACAAGGATGTCCTTAGGACGTCCAAAGGGCATCCAGGACATACATGTAGGATATCCTGAGGATATCCTATTTTAATCCTCGGATCTCCTCTGGATGTCCTGAGGAAGAGTAAATGATAGCCATACACTAGCCTCTGGAGAATCCAGGGAGATCCTGTGGAACACCTTAAGGATTTCTATAGGATATGTTAGGGATATTTTTCACACGTTAAAAAGAACAAATTCTAAAATTTAAATATAAATTAAGATTGCGTTCTATTATTTACTGCCAATACTAAAAATCTAATACTAAAAATAGTTCACGTTCTTTAATATTTGAGGTTTTCGTGCTGTACATAAATATTTTAGGTTTATGTGTAATATTTTCAAAACAATCCAATATCTGAATTCCCTATGTTGGGATTGCATCAGAAAAATTGAACTGATAAAAAATAATTATATTTTTAATTTCCTGTTAGTTGCTCTTTGCAAGCTTTATATAATTCTCATGACCAAATCTCAAATACGAGTTCGCGCGTCGCATAGCGGTAAACAAACGAACTAGCGGTTGAATACTATTTTTTGTAAAGTTTATGGAATGTTGCGCATAGTAACATTTCTCATGAAATATTAAATAAATAATAATTTTGAATATATGAAAATGTGCGCATCAAATTCAATTATTAATATTAAACGAAATTAATGTTAACAATTAATTGCACATGTATATGTCCTCTGGAAATCCAAAGGACAGGGCAGATATCCTACAGACATCCAGGGGTTATCCAGGGGACATTTATAGGACATTAATACTTATTACAATACTTAAAATTTCTAAATTATATTAAATAGCCTACATAACCGAAAGTAATCATGTATGCATATTAAATTTTCATAAAATATATTTATAATAATATCTTAAAACATCCTACAAATATCCTGAACCATCCTGGACATATTCAGGATGAACCTGAGGACATTTTGTGCTGTCTGGGTCACTATGTAGAAAAAGCAAAATCTCGCAAGCTTACAAATATATGTTTAATACTACAAACACAATAATGAGATATTAAAACAGTACCCATACAGCACAGATCATTGCAATTATATTGCAGCAACATTGCAATGTTGCAAATTGCAATGCAACATTACAAAGACATTGCAGAAATATAGAGCCACAAAGTACCAGCACACTTGTAGCAACATGACATTAATATTTCGGAAATATTGCAAAATTCAATTTTTATATAATTTTAATAATAAAATATTATAATAAAATAATTTTTTGCAATATTTCTACATGAAAGATGTTAACGATAAACAATACTAAATGGTTCATTTTATTAAAACATTTTTCTTAAATTGGCTTATATTGCTGCACTGTATGCTTTGCGCAGCACATGTACGCGTTCGCAATTGTGTGCGTGTGTAGTAGGCGCCGGTCTTGCTGCACATATCTGTGATTGTCGTGTATTTCGTGATTAACATTTTTTATTGTTGCGTACGAGAAAAGGTAAGAACTTTTTGATAATATTATGTTTTATTATAGCAACCTATATATATTATGTATTAATTAATCATAATAGAATAGCATGTCCTAAGGTTAATAACCTAGGTTAATAACCTTAAAATTATTGAGATCGCAAAAGTAAAAATTATATTTATCTATGATATATGTTCGTATATTTTTTATGTGGATATTTTTTGCTTTCTCTAATTTTCTATTTTGCTGTAGATATGAACTTTAAAATATTTGATAAAAATATTTATGTATATTTGCAGTATGTATATTTTTATGCAAATATGAATTTTAACTCCTATTTTATTTTTACAGACATTTAACAAAGGAAAACAATAATGGACAAAATTCAATAAATTATTAATGGTAATAAAAGCGCCGCGTAAAGCTGAACCATTTTTATATATATCTCTAATATAAAAAAAAATATATTTTTATTTCGTGAACATGTTAAGTGCAATAATATGTTATGTGCAATGTTATGTTATTTATAACGTTAACATAAGTACAAATAAAGACATTTAATTACAATGTATCGTCAATAATTACACATTTATATACCCAAAAATAAATATATATACATCATTGCAAATTCATTACATTGCAATATTGCTACAATATTTTGATGCAATATTCCTAAAAGCGGACATTTTATCATTGCTGCAATTCCACAGCAATGATACAGCAACATTTTGCAGTGAATTTGCAAAGTTGCAATATTGCGGTGAAAGATTGCTACAATATGTATGCAATCTTTGTGTGCTGTATGGGATCCAATCGAATTCGCTATTAGCAAATGATAATAAATTCGCGAATCTCTGCAGTGTAAATAGTCGAGTAAGAGCACATAAAAGCGTCTCGACGGAGACGCGCAGTATAGGAACGCAACGGCAGAGAAAGGTTTCGTTTGCGCAGACACGCGCGCGAAATTTGCGGGAGAGTGAATTTTTATCGCGACGTCGTAACGAGCGATGACATATCGGATGCGGCATTAGATTGCGCGCGATAATGTTCGGCGGTTATGTGTCTCTTTCGTGCGTTTTCCGAGCGATAAAGTCAAGCGCGAGACTCGCTCGCGAGAATCCTCCGACGTGACGGAGATAAAAGCGCGATCGTGCCGGGCGATTGTGACCTCCGGAGCGTTTCCAAATTTCAGAAACAACCTTGGATACACGATGTTAAAGTTTTTCGGTCGGCTGACTCAGAGTGCCGTCCTCGGAATCGAAGAACGTGACACAATCGTCTTCTCGGAGCTCGTCGCGCGATCAGGACTGACTCGAGACAAATCCGGGGCCCTGACTTTACGGAACGATCGGCACATTTTAAAGAAAGGAGAGACGTAGGGAATAGAGTGAAGAAATCGGGTCAGGGCTGTTCTTTTTCCAAATCCGAGCTATGCATGCTTCGATAGTTTTTTTTTTTTTGATAAAAATACAGATAGTAGATTAGTTCAAGAATAATATTTTTTATAGCGAAGGCGTTATCAGCTTATAAATGTAAAAAAAAAGTGATTAATATAAACTTTAATGCAACTATCTTAGACAGAAATTTCAAAAATCATTAGACATACGTTTTATTAATCTCTTTTTAATTATCTATATGTATACGTTTTACTATATATTTTTCAATTTCTTCAAGACTGCCGCATAAACTTTAATTACGGACGTTAATGATTCGCATTAATTAACGAGCGTGACGTATATGTCAGCAATATCGAATTAAAATTCGATTTTAGAATAACATCGTCTGAAAGATTGTCTAAATGGCCGCTCGGAGAGACGCAGCGACGTTCCGCTTCTGTACGCGCGTGTTCATCACGTGACGTCGCTCGAACATCGTCGAGGAGAGATAACTCTCGGACAGATTCGGGGCAGCTCGATCGCACCTCAGTGTTGTTGTTCGGGCCGGGATTTTTCGCGCATGCGTGGCAAACGCGGTACCAGTACAGTGCTTAGTTGGATAAAAAGGAGTACCATTAATCACCCGCGCAAAAATATCTAATAATTGTTCAAAATGTATGAGAAAAATATTAAATATTTAAATAAATAAATATATATATATATATTATAAATAAATTCTAAGCTGAAAAAGGGGAAAGAGGGTAATAAAATAATTAATTAAAAACACATTTTTATGCAAACGAAAATAAAATATTTTATTTTTGGCAGAATCTCATAGAATACCAACATTTGTTGCACGGGTAAGGAAAACTGCCAAAAACCTCACCAGTATTCATACAAAAATACAAAAAATAAAAATATTTATTTATAAAAATGAACATAAATAAAATTTATCAAATATAAAAACATTATCTTAAAATTATCCTCATGCAGCCATGCATTTTGAAAGTCTCTAACTTTCGGTCGTTTAATTGCTCCTTTTCTTTGCGCATGCATTATTTATAAATATACTTATCTACTCACCTTAACCTAGCCTGTCCTTCTTGCCGGGCCCGCCAAGACTTTCGCGCCCAAACACTACTACTCC